TTGTTATGTTCATGAGGTGGAAGAAGAACAAAACATGCACAACCAAAAACCTTAAGAAGATTATAGGTAGGAAGAATACCATGTAAATGCTCGTATGGAGAGTAATTATTAAGAATTGATGATGGAATGCGATTAATAAGATAAATAGCTATAAAAGCAGCTTCACCCCAAAATTGCTCTTGACAAGAAGATGAAATGACCAAAGCACGAATAGAATCACGGATATGTTTGTGTTTGCGTTCGGCTTGCCCATTTTGTTTAGAAGTGTAAGTACAAGATTGTTGTGTCAGTGTACCCTGTTTTTTTTTTAGAAAGGATTGAAGTTTGGTACCAAGATATTCAGTAACATTGTCAGTTCTCAAAGAGAACTGAGTTTTAACCATGGCAGCAAAATCAATATAAATTTGTGATAACTTAGAGCGATTTTTCACAAGGGATATCCAGGTAAAATGAGTATGATCATTAATAAATAACACAAAATACCTAGAACCCCCCCCATGGTGGGTGTAGGAGACGGACCTCAAACATCAGAATGCACAAGATCAAAAGGAGCAGTAGAATGAGAATGACTACTCGAAAAAGATAAGTAGTTGCTTTGCAGATTGACATGACACACAATGCAAGGATTCATTCGAAATTGATCTTAATAAGCCATGAGAGATAAGTGGATGAAGTTTACTGATTGAGATATGTTTGAGCTGTGAGTGCCACAAATGGAGAGGAGAAACGTTAGTAGCAGCACAAGCTTGCAAAATTTGTTGTTATGGAATTTGTAAAGACTTTAATTCAACAACACAAAGTAAGGTTTGGATGAATCGGTCATTTGGAAATGGTGGTATATTCATTTTATTATCAGGAATGTGTAGATAGTTGAGCTCAAACAAATGCCCCACCTTGTGACTAGTTTCAAGAAGTTGCCATGTCCGTGGGTCTTGCATACAACAACTGTGAGTAAAAAATGTTACTTCAAGACCAAAATCACATAATTGACCAATAGATAAAAGATTATAACTAAGTTTTGGAACCAAGAGGGCATTTGGTAAAGTCAATGACTTTGTAGAAATATTACCAATGTGACTAACATTTATAGGGAAACTATCAGCAGAATAAATATCAGGAAAGGAATTAGTTGGTAACATTGAAGAGAAATAAACAGTAATTGAAGACAGATGGTTATAACAACCAGAATCAAAATACCAAGGTTTGGTACTTAGAGTAGTAGATAAAGCAGTAAAAGCATTAAAAAGATTTAATGTCATCTGTTTTAGGGATTCAAGGTTGATAGTAGGTTGGTCTATCACTTCTTTAGCAATCATAGCAATAGCAAGATGAGTTACAGTCCTTTCAAAACTCAT